AAACGGTGGTGGTGGTGAAATTTAACGTTTTAGTGTTTGGTTCAATAAAGCTGACGTCTTCAAATAGGTTTTTTCGTTGATTTTGTAGAAACCTTCGTCGGGAAAGTAGACGATAACTACCCTGTAGGGAGGAATAATTAAGTTCACAGGAAATATCAAAAATAAATCTCACATATGATAATATATATATATATATATATATATATACAAGGAATCTTTAATTTGTCTGAAATGGTGATTCATTTGTACGTTGTATCGAAATAACCGTCTCAAATATTGCAAAAGCATACAACGTAGGTACCAGCGTTACTAACCACCTTAAACACCACCACGACTAACGTACAATTGGAATTGCTTGGCAAATCGTTTTTGAAACAGACGCAATAGACTGCAGTAATAACAACGTAGAACAATCGTGAAACAATTAGATTTTATTTACATTTCACACACAGTATACACTCCTCCGGCACGGTACTTGACGTTGTCTATGGTTTATCCCTACATCCAATAGGATTTACACTCGCTCTCAGAACCAGAGATGTCACGACATGATTTGTTGGTTATACAATGCGACACACCGGTCATTAATAAGTCGTTATGCCACTGTTAAGTTTACGTTTGGCCTACCTTGTCGTTGTAAACTTAGCATTTTGCTGGACGGCTCAGACAACTTTATGATTAAAGGGATACAATAGTATCATAAACTAAGAAAGTATGAAGAATTTCTAGAGCGTTGCATGTCATTTGATATTCATTCCTCGGAGTAAGTACTCCCTGGTTCCTTGTTAAACACATACGATACCAACTCCAGTGCATCAGCCGTGCATGTTACCAAGACATCATTACATAATGAATGGTCAATTAAATCGTGCCTTTGTTGAATTCTTTGGGTGATAAATTGAGTTGGTCTTGAGACAAAATAACTTTTTGAGACAAAATAACTCTTCAGACAAAATAACTTCTTGAGACAAACTAACTCCTTGAGACAAACTAACTTCTTGAGACAAACTAACTTCTTGAGACAAAATAACTTTTTGAGACAAAATAACTTCATGAGACAAAATAACTTCTTGAGACAAACTAACTTCTTGAGACAAAATAACTTCTTGAGACAAAATAACTTCTTGAGGCAATTTACTTATTGAGACAAAACAAACACGAACTGCTCCATAGTTTTGTAGTTTTGTCCCATGAGCAACTCCATTCATCACTCCATGAGATCCACCATTGTATTATTCATTTTTTTTTAAAATTTCAACTAAACCAATTTTTGATATAGGAACTTGTGTAAGTGCACCATTATGCAATAGAAAAATGGAAAATGTGTTAGCCTACAAGTAACTTGATGCTTAAAACATCTACTTCACAAAAGGATGTACTTATTATCAATATTTCTCCTATAATTATATACGCAAAACCTTTCTTCTACTGCAGCGGATCAATACTGTCTAAACTGTGTAAAAAAACCACGAATCAGAGTATTTACAGAGTTGCCAAACCCCTTCTCAGTTTTATCTTTATTCCAATGTAAATGCATATCAAACTGATACTATCTTATGTGGTATATTATTAAAGCGGATTTTTGTATTTTTATGAAGCTGAATGTATTATCTTTACATTGTATACTATAAGTTGATTATCCAAGGGTTACGCTCACTTTCGCTCCCTACACCCCTGGAATATGTCATATCAAAATCGAACGCTTGGTGTGCGCCACCTTGTTGATGAGACAAGAAGACTAGTTCGATTCTTTGATGTACATCAAAAGAATCTCGCGGTTACGTAACGGTAAAAATTGAAAGGCTTTGAAGTCGGGCGTCTTTCCTTTGTAATCTTCAATGGACAGGTATCAGCCTAGCGATTGGTCAGGTTTTTTTTTTTACCTGAGACCAATCAAAAAGCTATCTCCGTACCTTCAATTTTGCTATGACATATTCCAAGGGTGTAGAGAGCGACAGTGAGCGTTACCCCTGGATATCGAGAATGAGAGAGCTTCTGTATTTGTAGTTTGCGTGTCGCACTAGATTTACTATAGAGCGTGTTGTTAGTACTGTATAACTATGCTCTGGATATATATACCCTGTTTTCTGTTGTACTCCTCAGTCAGAGTATTCTACATAGGGGTCGTCAATCTTCATTAAAAAAACTTTACGATCGTCATCATGACCTGTAAAATATGTTTTAGATCGTTGAAGACTTTCCTGCGTTTCCCCATGTGATGTGATATAAGATTGATGGAGGAATGCTGACCTTCTGGAGTAGCCGATTGAAATACTAAGTAAAGCAACGCTTATTGAAATAAGATACATATAGTATTGCATGTAAATTTGTCAAAAAAAAAATCAAAAAAAATCCAAGTATAAACTTTAGCAAAAAGTGTCTATAAAACAATTGTTATAGTTACTAATTAAATTGTTTTACTATTTTTGAAACTCGCGTCATAATAAATTCCAAGGCTACGGGTAACCTCGAGAACAAATATTCAGCTAGCAGAGTTAACAACTCCGAGAAGCATAACAACCACTGGAAGTACGAGGTAATGAGACAGACACCAATATAAATGAACCATTGTTTCACTTCATGTTTTACCGGTCTTCATGGAGCCTTTCCTTTTGTTTTGGTGTTTCCTTAGTTTCTGTTCTCATCCTTTGAGCACATTGCGTGTTGAAATTTTGATTTTTGTTTCTTTTTTGCTAATACAAACATTTCTGTCTTTAATACAAGTCGCAAACATATTTTTCTATCATAGCCGCTATATACAGGTTTCCGCACTTCCGAATCATTGGATAAACCTGTTAGGATCTGGTGAACAATTTTGGTTACCCACTATAGGGCAACACTCTGGATGTTATTTCATTGGTTAATCTTCTCATTATGACGTCAAGTACATATGCTTTGCGACGGAATCTTCTATTGTGACGTCATTATAAATGGTACATTGTAACTTATTCCCTGGTCGGAAACAGGAAGAATATATTCCCAAAAGAAATATAAGGTTTGCTTAATATAATATGATCGTTAAAGGCGAAAAAGGCCCCCATACTTGTACTGGTTGATTATCATATTATCAAAAGTAAAAGACACTCTATAAACCTAGCGCTTTATACAATTTGAAAATTAAATAACTCGAGTTAGATAAACATAATAACCAACCAATCACTCCTCGGGGAAACGCTTAATACAACATATGTAGTGTAAAGTGTGTTCTATTTTAACATCGTGATATTGTTGTTTCTAAATGAGTAATATTCCGTCGTGTTAACACGAAGATAATTATATCACATTATTTTTACTTATGTAGATTTGCATCATGCAGGCTCAAAATGTTTGTACTTTAAGTAATTCCTCGAGACTTTCCTTTATTCTCAAATTAACGTTTTATGTAAACATGAAATCCACACAACCAGAAACAGTTCGTAAGCGTAAATACAGATATTATTCTTAAATGAAAACTACAGCATATGGATAAATTGTGTTTATATGAAATTCCTTTTAAACGTTATTGCTTATCTTAAAAAGCCAATTGGTAACAATAAAGGCTAATGGCTGTGTACGTCAAAATGACCAAGCCTTAAAAAGATTGGTTAGCGTAACCTAGCAAATAAAAGTCATAAGGAATTTAACATAAGTTTTTAAATATGAAATATGTTTTCTTGAAACTATAGTTTGTTAAAGAAAGGTTATGGTATTGCAAAAATGTGATTTGTTTTGGAAATATTGACCATTTATAAACATCATGAATTTTCGAAGATGTTTTATTTGGTCAAGCTAACATGTTATCATATACCAAGAGACTTTGCCAGATGTTACTCTTTAGTTTATACATGTACATGTGCAGATCATAAGTCTATGTAATATGTGTCAGAGATCGGTGTATGTTTCTGTATTCCATAAAGGACCTTTGTAGACCTCTTATGACCTCTGACCCTTCACATTTCACATCAGACAAAGAGCTTGGGAAAAAACTACACACCAACCCAGCTATGGTAACGGAATTGACATTGTTTTTCAAGAGTTTTAAAGATAGTGATAATATATATATATACATACATATCTAAGATCCTGTTTATTGCCGCGCATTTTCCTTTAATAGTGTCTGACAATTACTCAAAGAACTTTTAACAGACCAAAAAAAATTAAGAATATTTCTTAAAAAACAAATTCACCAATGATCCCATAAAAGATGCATAAAAAAGTATTATTGGTACATAAATCAAAACACATTTAACATATATACATTGTGCATGAGTGGATTTCGGTCAGGATAAACTTAAGCTTGCATGTATTCCGTCTTTGCGTATTGCAGAGTTATCTTCTCGTGGGAGCAGGTATTGATTGTTACGTTATTGGTTTGTGTGAGAAAATTACGACGTTTTCTCAAAAATTGATGACGTTACTCTCACAAACCAATGACGTAACAATCAAAACCTGCTCACAAGAGAAGATAACTCTGCAATACGCAAAGACGGAATACCGTTATGTAGCTAGAATAGTTAACATTTAAAAGTTAAAAAAAATCATGATAAGAAAAAAATAGCGCTTTTTACTATAAACTTTGAAACATACTGCATAATTTGTTATTTTACAAAGTATATTAAGCTATTCCTTCAGCGTTAGACAGACATATTAGTATTTTCGAATGGGAGGAAAATACATTTGTGGTATTGAATTCTCAAAAGAAAGTTGAAATACTAATTATTCTCAGAGTTCTGTTTTTGCTTCAAAGGGAAAGGAGTCTTATAATCTTTCTCAAATGTATTTACCATGAAAACATCTGAAGTATAGGAGGCGTGCAGCACTTCAAATCTCAGAATCATTCTGATGTGTAAAACGACCTGGGGACCAAATAACGAAAACGGTATCATATACTCTTAACTTCAGAACTATTCAAACTATAGATATAGATCTTTCATTTAATCTTAAACAAATTATATGCAAATTCTTGTATAAGTCATGCAAGTATCAGGTTTAAATCAATTTAAAAAGTCGAAAACCAAAAATTAAGAACATGTTTTTATTTGTTTATATATATATAGGGTGTTATGTAAAGCCATGTGATAACCTGGTTCGGACACAACCACCGTCCAGTATTGTGTATGAGACACATTGATTTTGGTATCATGCTAAGAACTCACAACCCTCTTTTATTATGTTAAGTATGCAACAATAATGAGATTTGATAAGGACACAGCAATCCTTCAGCATTATCTTTAGGACTCAACACCCCTTAAACGTGATGCAACGGACACAACAAACATCTGAAGTAGGTCAAGGACACAACTCGTCAGTATTATGTGAAACACAGCACTATCCTCTATTATGTGAGGATATGGTTTTTGGTACGGATACTACCCTCCCTCAGGTGCTATGTTGAGCACACAATAGCCATATGACATAACGGGTATGTTAAGGGTACAACAACCATCTATTTTAGGGTTTACGGCTCTGCATTACATTAGGACAAAGTCTAGTACATAATGTATGTAGCATATCGCTTGTTGTGGTTGTTAAAAGAACGTGGGCATAAAAAAACGTTCTGCGGCTTGCACATGTGCTTTCACCCAAGTTCATTGGCGATAAGAGGTTTTTCTTGTAAATATTATCAATTTCGCATGACACAAACCGGCAGTATACGCTATTTACAGAATAAATGTCTGTATTCTGAGGGTTTAGACTCCGTTAAAAGCCCTTTCACATATTTATTCTTTTAATAACGCTTTATTGATATGGGAGCTCGATGACACTGGTGTTGTTAAGTTTTTTTCTTCATTTCAAGTTCACTCTCCCAAGTTACTTCAATCTTGAATAATAGTTAAAACTTCCAGGTATATATCATTTGATAATGCAGGTATTATAGCCAATTACGTGACGTTTTCAATATTTACGCCAACCTGTTTCCCGCACAAGCCATGCACATTGTACATGCACAGTGGCGGATCCAGAGGTTTGTTTTGGACTTCAGGAATCTAATGCCAACTATGAAGTTTTTATTTTGACGAGTGATCATGTCTTACTGCATATTTTACAATATGTAAATAGATTCAATATGAAATGTCGATTTGGCCAACACGTATGGCGGAATTCAGCGACAGTTTCGTGTTTTGTGTTGTTGGGTTTTATGCCATAGTAACATGTTTACACCTCATCGCTTTCCAACCATCTAAAGTACATGCAGGTGCTGAAGGTCATTCGGAAAACGTGCTCTACGTCATTGGGCTGTTGTCAGTAATCCTAAAAATAGAAAGATAGAAAAACTCACATCAAAGGCACATTATTTTTGGATAAAAAAATAGAAGAATCTGGGATAAAAAGGAAATCTTATCACGATTCGTTTTTCTTCGCCAGACGAAATCAAATATAAACAAACAAAAAACCATCAGACTGGATCTGGAGAAGTAGCATACTGCTGCAGGCAGATGTTTGGCGTTACGGAAGCATGATATTTTTAATCAGGTAAGAACTGCATCAAAATCCAGAATTCCTGCCAAACAACATAACATTTTATAGCTTTGATATGATTTATTGTTGACCTGTCAAAATACATGTAATATAACAACGGCAGTGTTATCGCATTTATGTTTAAAGTCGCTTTTACTTTGGAGGAATGTACTGCTACAATGATCAATCGAGTACACGTTCACCACCATCAGGACAGTGATCGACATCGTGATAATGGTAGATAGCAATAAAGTGCAAGATAAATATGCAAGACCACACACTTCCGTGCACTCGTTAATATATTCGTCCGCACAATAAACTCGTGCTTTCTGATTCGTTAGAAAAACACAAGTGTGTGGTCTTGCTTTTATTAAATACCTTCCGTATTTGGTAGAGATCGATCAAAAGATTTTATAAACTTTGTTATGTTTTGCAAAAACCGGGAACTTTTCAGTTCGCCATGACAAGGGGATTCCCATAAAAAAGTAGTTCCGGCTAGTAGGTAAATACAACATTCCGTATGCACATGTGCAATACAGAACGTTGTATTTCATGGTCTGAAAATTACTTGTGTTACTATAACAAGATTCAACAGATATGTGAAAAAATTGTGGCCCAGGTGGACCAGGACACTTTCGTGGACTAGGTAGATCGGTCGGTTAGAGCAATGGCTTAACAATCTGAAGTCCAAAATTCGAATACCGGTCATGCCTCATTGATTATTTACACCCATCACCCTGTTGTTGGTCATATTTTGCAAGTTTGTTCTCTATTATTTGTTTTATCAACGTCCTGCTGGGAATTTTTCAGAAATTATATATCTAAGCTAGGCATGCAAAAAAAATTAAAAAATTCCAATGTGTTGTTACAATTTTTAGCGGTGGTACAGGGATCTTTAAATGATCTACCATCGTGAAATGTGTTTATTTTGAAGTTTATATTGCTAACGTGTTTCGATGTTATACTGACCAGCCACGCATGCTGTGATGAAACAAGCCATGCAACCGGAAATAAGAGCACGGAATGACACTCTGACGATATCTTCCTTTCTAGAGGGCGCCACCGCCGTCAATGCTCCAATCATAATGCCGAGCGCTGTCATATTAGAGAACCCGCACAAAGCGTACGTCGTAATAACCTCGGATCGGGCCTGAAATGACGGATACATTTAATATAATGTCATGCCAAAGTTTAAATTCAATAGACATTTTGATTTTTTTTTAAATATATGTAAAATTCTTAAAAAAGCAATAAACGAATGATCGTAAAAAAGTTATTTTGACAAAAATAATAAAGTGAAATCTTGTCTTAAATGTGGTTTCATTGAACACAGTTTCGAAAATTACAATATGCGTCTAACGTCTTACCTACCGACATAACGCCCCCGATCAGAATGGTGGCGTTCCCGGGCGTGTCCATGACGATATTTCCTGTCGTATCTAAGTGCCAGGTGCCGTTAAAATTCCGGAATTTTTGGCCATTCCTTATTACTTCCCCAAGATCTTCATAGGCGAAAAATTCATTGATGAATGTTTTAATGCCGACCATTCTGGCTGCCACGTGACAATCTGCTGGTTCAACTCCCATCAGGAAAACCAGAGGCCAAAACAGGTAGGAGCATATAAGCTATAAATTACAATAATAGCAGCATGTTATGCATACATGTAAACAAAACATAGCAATAAAATAATAATTCGAGGTTCTTATATACCGCTTCATCACAACTCAGTTCGGAGGTTGTCTCAAAGCTGTTCACAAATTAGTATCCGTGGTTATACCTGTAGGGCCTTTAATTTGCAACCAGGCAATCACAGTCGGTGCTGCCATTTCGGCGCTCGCAGCTAGCATTCAACAATTCTAGCACTACCGAACCACGTACTCATTTAGAGTGAGTAGACTTGAATAAGCGGAGTAAAGTATCTTGCTAAAATATACAACACAGTGCCGTTCGGTCACGAGCCTGGCGTCCTACCATTAGACTACCGTCCCTCCTAGTAGTAACAGTCAGTTAGTAATTTATCAGAATATGTACGTAGCAGATCATATTAAACATGTACCAAAGAAAGAAACAACCAATAAGTTCTTTATCAGAATATGTACGTAGCAGATCATATTATACATGTACCAAAGAAAGCAACAGTCAATAAGTTCTTTATCAGAATATGTACGTAGCAGATCATATTATACATGTACCAAAGAGAGAAACAGTCAGTAAGTTCTTTCTTAGAATAGGCACGCAATAGACAAACTGTTTAAATATAAACACATTCCGTTAGTACTTTCTCAGATATGATGCATCAACTATACCGAACACGACACAGTCCGTTAGTACTTTCTCAGAATGGAACAGAATATTCAGAGAATACCTATAGATAATTCATCCAACAATTGAACACATTTCAGAATAATAACATAATGAGAAATGCTAGAACTACATACTGATCTAGAACAAAAGTAACGTACTTTTACATGGACAATCATTTTAATTTTAGTTAGTGGGACATCCATGGTGATGGCTACTGGAATAAAAACTGCACAAGTACAATCAAAGAACAATAACTCGTAATTTTAGTTGATCAATGCCAGTTCCGTACTTTTCATTTTCTGGTACACTGCTAGAACACAGGAAACTGAGAATTTCTTACAGTTTGCTACGTTTTGACCTTAACTAACAATTGTTTAGGTGTTTATGGCAATATTCTACATTTAGAGGTTTATATCAACGTCGATAAAAATGCCATCCCAAATAGGGATATACATTGTAAACAAGAACGCAGGAAAGCTCCCGACCCAACTTCCTCGCATCAAAAATCAAATTTCTAGTGGATGTACAAAAATACGTAGTAGCGTTGGAAAGATGATTTGTTTTCTTTCACAAACTGTCTATATCCACGTGCTAAAACACACGCCTTTTCGATGTTTTATAGTTTTTTTTAAGCAGTAACACTATGACAAGTCGTCACGCGATTTACCTGATTTGAGGATGCATATTGATAGGCGTACACATAGCTCATTCATATAAAATTTATATGAAATGAAAATGAATGATGAAATGTATCGCTTATGTACCTACAGATTACCTGGAAAGAGAGGACGGGATAGTCTGGAGGAGTGAGTCCTACGCGGTCACCTAGCCACTCCAGAGTGGCGTTGCAGAATCCAAGCAAAGAAAAGAAAGCCAACACGCTGACTAGGATGTAGGCGACTATAGAAACCGCTCCGATAGCGCCTATAGACGCTGCGTCTATGATGTTTTGACCATGTCTTCAATACAAAATAATTCTATTACCAAAAAATGCAGTTTTCGACGTGAATGTCAAAATCTCAATTTCGTTTTTTTGAATATCCGAAGTTCCTAATATAATGACTTCATCAAGTTAAAAACTAATTTACACAACGTTTCAATTATAAAGTATTAAAAAAATTGCGATGTCAACTGTTCAATATATACTCTGACATATGAGAAAGAGATATGTACTTTGAACTTTACCCTTTTTTGTCCAAGGTAACCTTTGATCTCCTGACCTTATCGTCTGGGTAGAAGAGTTTGGACAAGGCGAGGGCGGCCGGGGCTGACATGACGGAGGCCGAGAGTAGGTGGTTTGCAGGAGCCTGCATCGGTTTAAACATAACAGGAACAAACATCACATTTGGTAATTATAACTGAACATAGAACAAGAAACATGGTCCGTGGTCATAGAATAACATGCTTTCTGTGCATAAAGAATTGTCGTTTTAATACATCTCCAGCACACACGCAGGTATACACACATAGGGAGATATTAGCCAGGTGGCATATGACTAGTAGTTACCACTTGATAAAGCAGCTCCTACGAATTCCTCAAAATTGTATTGATTAATGTATATGCTAATTGTATTGGTTATCTATGCACTGTTAAGCGCTTTAGAGTGGCTTAATCTAGCTAGATAGGGCGTTATATCAAATGTTGTATATCACATTTTTTAAATATTTTTTTCAAATCTTTCCAAGTCTTTTGCATATTAACAATCTTGTTTTAGGTATCTCGGTATGTGAGCATGGCACGTGTGTGATTCGATAACGAATGGCTAAAATCTCTTTAGGAATGCAGAACCTACTTCACTAAGCATTTGTTGACACGTAAATGTATACAAAATGTAGTTTTATTGTAAAGTATATCCAGACTTACTTCACGACCCTCTGCAAAGGTTGCAAACATAGACAATAGGTTAGGACCCATAATAGACTATACGGATTCCATTGGCTACAATACTTAAACATTTCTGCCAGATGTGTCGCGTCTACTTGTAGGCCAGTAGGTCGAAGGCAGAAAGAGTCCAACGATATATAGAAACAGCCGCGATAACAAACCTCATAACCATTATGTCGATAATAACACTTGCTTGTTGTTTTAACAATATGCCGTTTAAAAACGTATTCATTCGACTATTAGTCACTGTATATGCCTTCTGATTGTTCCTTATTTGTGATTAATACTGCAAAAGATCCTGCTCACGTGTTGATCGCGAAATAATAATCCGTATCAATTTGATTATTCATTTTGGGTAAAAATCGCCAAACTTAAGCCCGCGTAAATAACCCATTATACGGTATTACAGTATGAGTTGATCACGTAATTTGTTAAATGAAAAGCTAATGATAGATTCTCATTAGTCGAACGATTCCAAAAATGAAGGTGATAATAATTTGACATCAAAACATTACTAAAATAGTTAAAATACTTTTTGTATATCTAATATTCAAGAAAACTAAACTGTGTTGATATGTAAATGTTCTGCTGAAAATGTACACGAGTTTGAGACTGTAAGGAGAAAGCCTTACCCCGTACATGTGATAGACGACTAGCGTACTGCCAGACACGGTGGCAAACCCATTGGTCATCACAGTGTGTAGTTCAGGAAGCGTCATGTCGTCAAAGAAAGGTCGTAGGAACGTGGTTGTCTCCGCCTGAAAATGGGACAGATGATTAATCTCAACGATTCAATTGATTTCTTGTTAATTTCTCCAAAGACGTAAGATATTAACTAAATGCTTTTGAATGTGCAGAAGAATAGTTTCATGTGTGTTTTAGTTTTGAAAGAAGTTTGCTTAAAATTGACCAATGCAGATTTTGTTAACGCATATTCGAATAAATTGCTTCCGTCATGTGACTTACCCAACCGACGAAAATGTTAAATGCAGCATGCAGAGATTCCATGGCGGAAATACCCAGACTGTGCTCCATGACAACAGCAATACCCCGGATGAGGACTTGGATCCAACCAAGGTAATACAAGACAGAGATGGTAGCACTGAAGAAAACTATCACCGGCAGTACCTTGGGACGACAAGACGGTAGGATGAGCTAGTTTCTTAAAACTGCAAAACAAATCTACTGGATTGTATCGACCAATCATTCGGTTTTATTTTTTTGTAATTAAATGTAATAGGTAATAAATGTAATAGCTAAAGGGAAAACGAATGAAGACTGATTTCAAATCAAATGGTTATTGACTATATTTTCTTCTTATTTTTCTGGATTGATATTTTAAGAAATTGTCAAATATGTTTTACGAAGGTAGAAATACATAAACGCACGACAAAAAGTTATATAAAAAGTCTTACAGTGAATGCGAATAAATGTTGGTCAAGGGCAGGCCCAAACACAAAATTGGCTCCAATGTCAGAATGTTTGAGATATTCTGTAATTCGTTGTGCCAACCAATCAAATGCGCCGTAACCCCATGTTGACCGGAGCACTACCAGCGCAAAGATAAATTGTAAAAGTAGTCCCCATAACACAGGTCGCCACACCACCTGAGAATAAATACAACTCAAATGAAACAATCAAATAGAGGTTCAGTAATGCGTGATTCATGCACTTAGTTTAATAGAACACTTAGGTACAGTAACGATTAAGGTATGTGTACATGTTATACAGTTGCAATAAGTTAAAAAAGATATATTTTAGAGTAGTCCTTTTTTGTAATGAAAATCATTTAGCTTTTACCAAATAATGTGGATACTAACAGGCCCGTGCGAAGGTCACTAGCCATTTTTCTACATTTCATGCATTTTACAATTTTCCGGAAAGTCAGTTAAATGATATTTAAACAAACATTTGCAGCTTGAAGGAGAATGTTCAAGACGTTTAATTCTCACTTAATTAGTTCATACTTAACCATTAAACAGTTTTTGAAAAATAAGTAAATCTCATGTTTAGTTTTTTACTATAATATTTTGGTAAGATCAATAATAAGATGGTGCTAACAAAAACAAACACGATTCAGTTCGAATAATTTGTCATATCTTGAGAACCGTTTGACGGAAAGCATTATAGATATTGTCAGAGAAAAAGTTTAACAAATCTTTTATATGATACAAGCGTTTGTTTTAATACCTTCACTGAAAAATAAATCTTTTCTTTAATTTGGTGCGGAATAGCAAATATGTTGCCAAAGCACAAACCAGGAATTAAAACTTATAAAAGGATTCATTATGCGACCTTAAGGTCATAGCTAGAATTAAACAAGAAAAAATGTATATTCTTTCTAAAACAAACAATTACGGCAGTGTCGAAACCATATGTAATGTATATCAAACGATATTTCACCGATCAACTCGGTTTTGAAGTCACTATCAAACTATGAGGAGTTTCTTTGCTCATACACTGCTCTCCCATTTATTTATCCAGAAAAGAAAATAATCAATTTTATTTTCTCCACAAAACGTTATATCTCACAATGTATTTAATTCTGATGGCAATATAAAGGCACTTGTCGTTAAGTAATGTGAATTGCCCATACTCCGATGGTTTAAACATATTTACACTGTATATACTTCTGAGCAATCTTTCGAAAAGCAGGTTACTACCTCAAGTTGGTGTTTTACTTGTAAACAATTTAAAGAACGTTCCCTTCATGTCTGTAAGAGAATATAATACAAAGTACCATACTTGTCTGACGTTATTCCAATACAGCTGTAGTACATATGGCATAATTTAATGCAGTTTTTATGTTTAAACGTGTGTGTGATTTAAAACGGTCGCTACTGGACAACAATGTATTTGACGTAACTACTAAAGTGGTAACTTACCTTAGCTGGATCTTTGGAGAAGAAGAACATGATCATTATAAACACAACCAACCCAACAGCCGATATAACGTTTGACGGAAATTCGATGAATACTTCGACCAAAATGTAGATGAAAATGGCTAGAACTGCAATCATGCTAACCATCCTTAAAAAAGTACATAAAGATGAATGACTAACTATTTACTGCAATAAAAAACAAAATGCATTAAATCTTTATTGTCAGTAAGTTTTATTATACTCTTTGATTTTTTAATAGAATTAATCGGCAGATGACATTTGCACTATTGTGCAGAAGCCTGGTGTTTGTTTTAAGTGCTCAGATCATCGAATGTATCCGAAATATTAAGATCTCATTATTAAACGAATCGAACTTTAGTTTCCCAACATAGGAATGCGTGACACAAAATTAATAACGATTATAACAGTTCAGGCTGTTTTATGCTTGAAATGTTCTGGAGAATTTTATGTTATCAAAACGTTGTTTTTTTTTATTCTGATGTTTCTATTGCTTATCTGGATATGTACTTTATACAAAAGATATAATTCGAGTCTAAAGGCACGAGTCTAAACAGCTAAAGGGAGATCACATCGGTATGTAACAAACGTATCGAGAAGTGTTTAGATATTGGGAGTAAAGGGTACACTGTAGCTGTTTCATTTATCGACACCCATCCAACGTATTACTCTTGGTAAGTTTGCGCTAAGATTTTATCTATTTATGTTTATTTGGACTTGACAACTAATGTTTTAAAATGTACGCACGACCGCACACATTAATACTGTTTTATTTTCAAATATTAGTATTCATGTAATTCTGAATTACATTCGGTGTACCACGCAATGATATTTCAACGGAGATACCCCGCGAAAGGTGAGAACTATAAAACCTTACCTTTGTAGGAATACATATCTTCTTTGAATATGACGTGTGATCTTTATGACGCACTTAGTTGACTGTAACGATGATGACACGGGAGGACCAATCTTCACGAAGACAATCCTGACAACATATCCCAGGATCACCAAAACGGTTCCGACCATCAAACGAACTGATCCTTCATCACCGAACCTATAAATCATTGCGTAAACAAAGTATGCTAGGTAGCCTAGAAGTAAAATGACTTTGATAGCTTGATTGACTCTGTGTTTGTTCTTCTTGAAATACCGGTCACATGACCGACGGACCCGGATGATAATGCCAAGCGGCGACAGAGAAGGAACCGACCTGTCGTCGCGGCTGTCGTCGCCTATCACTATGCCGACCTCAGTGGTAGAGTCTGCAATCTGAAAAATACCATAACGAGTCGAAGTTTATAGAAACGGATTTCCTATCACGAAGCAAAATGCGTATGACGAAGGAATACTATATTTGAAACATGACTAAGTTGTACGTAAAATGACAATGACCTAGCTCTTGTCTCTAAACACCGTTGTTATTTGTAAGTTTTGATATTGTGTTAACACGCAAGGGCGTTAATCATTTGACCTCTCTGTAGTTTTTAATTTAAACATATTTTATTGCCAAGCAAATGGATTGGGCACAAGTTATCAAACTTATATTAAGCCCTTTCCTAGCAAATTACAAGCATATATTTACAATAGTACAACAAGATGGCAGAATTAATTTACATATATACACTATTTCATTTTTAAATGCTTTAATTTATAAATTGAAATTATAAGAGAGAGACAGAGAGAGAAAAGGGGGGAAGGGGGAAGAGACAGGGGGGTAATAGTCTGTAATTATAATACATACATCCTCATCATTATTAATGTATGACATATAGTATCTTCCTCTTAGAGAGAGTGGATATTATGGTTCAATTGAGAGAGAGGGAGAGAGAGGGGACAAGGGGGAGGGGGGGTACTAGAATCTGTTAGAGTCACGAATGTATTGCTGAGTATGCATGAATATCGTTATGTTTTCCTGTTCCGAAAGAGATGTATCTCCAAATAGAAGTAGATTTAAATTAAGAGGCATGTATTCATTCAGTTCACGATAAAGCTTAATTCTTTGTTCGTTATATATATCACAGGTAAAAAAGAAATGGTGTGTGTCTTCAATAGGGAAGCCACATATACAACGTTGGTAATCAATGAGGTTAACACGAAACAGGTCACTTTTCAAAGTACTAGAACGGTTTCTTAATTTTGTATGCAAAATATTATTTTTCCTATCACCATAGAAAAAGGGGTTTGGTACAAGCGGCAAGTTTACGTCTTGAATGGCGTTTCTAAATGATGAGAACGTGGCACTACGTCGTATACTAGTAGGTAACTGGTTCCACAGTCTAACAGTAGAAGCAAAAAAGGATACGTTAGATAATTCAAGTCTGTTGTTAGGTAGGTTGTAGTTTTCAACGTTTCGAAGATTATAGTGAGAGTTATCGACAAGGGAAGGGAGTAGAGTGTTGAGATAGTTAGGGGCTATATTATTGTGGATTTTAAAAAATAATTGAAGTTTTCGACGGGATCTCCGATGGGCTAGAGAATCCCATCTGTAGTCTTCTTTAAGAAAGTTATCCATCTGTCACATCATGTCTGACATTTGGATTTGCGTTTGGTACCTAAGCAAAGCAAATTTACGAGATGATCAACATCATTCGTACATGTAAATGTACATAACTGTATTTCTACTAATATTCTTGAAATAAAATCAAAGTTCAGAAGGCCATATTATTTCCCTTTTCAAAGCTATTTCGTTTTATATGAGTAATTAAACATTCTAATAAACAATAATTAGTTTAGTCATCTCTAAATAATCATACGATGTATAATAAAGAAAAGTTGTAAAATTAGAGAAAGAGTGAGAACAATATAACGGAAGTAGCATCTCACGTTTTCGTCTTCTTGTCCTTTGTCTTCATCGCAAATCATCAAATGCTCACGGTGTGCCTTCAGGTCTTCCTCGGTGACCATCTCTACTTCAGTTTCCGAGTTCATTGTCCTTCAGTGCCAATGGCTACCGTTTACGAAATTAAATAACAATATCAAAGCGTCATGTTATTGACAATTGAGTGGTAATATTTAAGCAAAGAATATGTAATTAGCCCTCTCTCAATTAAGGTATTGTCATTTGGTATTTTGATAATAACAACGTGACTTGGGGCTTCAACCTGATAATAATAAAACAATAGTCACGCTATGGGCTTCGACCCTGATAATAATAAAACAATAGTCACACTAGGGGCTTCAACCCTGATAATAATAAAACAAAAGTCACACTATGGGCTTCAACCCAGATGATAAAGAAAAAATAGTCACACTATGGGCTTCAACCCTGAAAATAAAGAAACAATAGTCACACTATGGGCTTCAACCTTGATAATAAAGAAACGATAGTCACACTATGGGCTTCAACCCTGATAATAAAGAAACAATTGTCACTCTATGGGCTTCAACCCTGAAGCTTCAACCCTGAAAATAAAAAAAGTCACACTATGGGCTTCAACCCTGATAATAAAGAAACAATAGAAGCGTCACTTTGGGCTTCAACCCTGAAAATAAAGAAACAATAGTCACACTATGATCTTCAACCCTGAACATAAAGAAACAATAGTCACACTATGAGCTTCCACCATGAAAAAAAAAAAAATACTACTCACACTATGGGCTTCAACCCTGAAAATAAAGAAATAATAGTCACACTAAGGGCTTCAACCATGAAAATAAAGAAACGATAGTCACACTATGGTCTTCAACCCTGATAATAAAGAAACAATAGAAGCGGCACTTTGGGCTTCAACCCTGAAAATAAAGAAATAATAGTCACACTATGGGCTTCAACCATGAAAATAAAGAAACAATAGTCACACTATGGGTTTCAACCCTGAAAATAACAAAATAATAGTCACACTATGGGCTTCAACCCTGAAGATAAAGAAACAATAGTCACACTATGGGCTTCAACCCTGAAACTTTAACCCTGAAAATAAAGAAACAATAGTCACACTATGGCCTTAAACACTGAAAATAAAGAAACGATAGTCACGTACCCTATGGGCTTCAACCCTGAAGATAATGAAACAATAGCCACACTATGGGCTTCAAGCCTGAAAATAACAAAATAATAGTCCCACTATGGGCTTCAACCCTGATACTTCAACCCTCATAATAAAAAAAACCCGTCACACTATGGGCTCCAACCCAGATAATAAAGAAACGATAGTCACGTACACTATGGGCTTCAACCCTGAAAAAAATGAAACAATAGTCACACTATGGGCTTCAACCCTGAAAATAAAGAAACAATAGTTACACTATGGGCTTCAACCCTGAAGATAAAGTAACAATTGTCACACTATGGGCTTCAACCCTGATAATAAAGAAACAATAGTCACACTATGGGCTTCAACCCTGATAATAAAGAAACAATAGTTCCACTATGGGCTTCAACCCCGAAGATAAAGTAACAATAGTTACACTATGGGCTTCACCCCTGATACTTCAACCCTCATAATAAAAAAAACCCGTCACACTATGGGCTCCACCCTGATAATAAAGAAACGATAGTCACCTCCCTATGGGCTTCAACCCTGGAAATAAAGAAACGAGAGTCACATTATGGGCTTCTACCCTGATACTTCAACCCTCATAATAAAAAAAACCCGTCACACTATGGGCTCCAACCCAGATAATAAAGAAACGATAATCACGTACACTAAGGGCTTCAACCCTGAAAAAAACGAACCAATAGTCACACTATGGGCATCAACCCTGAAGATAAAGTAACAATAGTCACACTATGGGCTTCAACCCTGGTAATAAAGAAACGAGAGTCACATTATGGGCTTCTACCCTGATAATAAAGAAACGATAGTCACCTCACTATGGGCTTCAACCCTGAGGATAAAGTAACAATAGTCACACTATGGGCTTCAACCGTGAAAATAAAGAAACAATAGTCACACTATGGGCTTCAACCCTGGAAATAAAGAAACGAGAGTCACATTATGGTCTTCTACCTTGATAATAAAGAAAAGATAGTCACCTCACTATGGGCTTCAACCCTGAGGATAAAGTACAATAGTCACACTATGGGCTTCAAGCCTGAAACTTCAACCCTGATAATAATAAAACAATAGCCACACTATTATCTTCAACGCTGAACATAAAGAAACAAAAGCCACTCTATGAGCTTCCACCATGAAAAAAAAAAAAAAATACTACTCACACTATGGGCTTCAACCCTGAAAATATAGAAACAATCAATAAAGAAACAATTGTCACACTATGGGCTTCAACCCTGATACTTCAACCCTCATAATAAAAAAATAAAAATAGTCACACTATGGGCTCAAACCCTGATAATAAAGAAACAATAGTCACACTATGGGCTTCAAGCCTGAAACTTCAACCCTGATAATAATAAAACAATAGTCACACTATTATCTTCAACGCTGAACATAAAGAAACAATAGTCACACTATGAGCTTCCACCATGAAAAAAAAAAAATACTAGTCACACTATGGGCTTCAACCCTGAAGAAAAAGTAACACTGGTCACACTGTGGACTTCACCCCTGATAATAAAGAAACAATAGTCACACTATGAGCTTCAACCCTGAAAATAAAGAAATAATAGTCACACTACCCTGAAGATAATGAAACAATAGTAACACTATGGGCTTCAACCCTGAAAATAAAGATACAATAGTCACACTATGGGCTTCAACACTGAAAATAAAGAAACAATAGTCACATTATGGGCTTCAACCCTGAAAATACAAAAATAATAGTCACACTATGGGCTTCAACCCTGAAAATAACAAAATAATAGTCACACTATGGGCTTCAACCCTGAAGATAATGAAACAATAGTCACACTATGGGCTTCAACCCTGAAACTTCAACCCTGAAAATAAAGAAACAATAGTCACACTATGGCCTTAAACACTGAAAATAAAGAAACGATAGGCACGTACACTATGGGCTTCAACCCTGAAAATAACAAAATAATAGTCACCCTATGGGCTTCAACCCTGAAGATAATGAAACAATAGGCACACTATGGGCTTCAACCCTGATACTTCAACCCTCATAATAAAAAAAAAACGTCACACTATGGGCTCCAACCCTGATAATAAAGAAACGATAGTTACGTACACTTTGGGCTTCAACCCTGAAAATAAAGAAACATTAGTCACACTATGGGCTTCAACCGTGAAAATAAAGAAACAATCGTCACACTATGGGCTTCAACCCTGATACTTCAACCCTCATAATAAAAAAAAAACGTCACACTATGGGCTCCAACCCTGATAATAAAGAAACGATAGTTACGTACACTATGGGCTTCAACCCTGAAAATAAAGAAATAATAGTCACACTATGGGCTTAAACCCTGAAAATAAAGAAATAATAGTCACACTATGGGCTTAAACCCTGAAAATAAAGAAATAATAGTCACACTATGGGCTTCAACCCTGAAAATAAAGAAATAATAGTCACATTATGGGCTTCAACCCTGAAAACAAAGAAACAATAGTTACACTATCGGCTTCAACCCTGAAGATAAAGTAACAATAGTCACACTATGGGCTTCAACCCTGATACTTCAACCCTCATAATAAAAAAATAAAAATAGTCACACTATGGGCTCCAACCCTGATAATAAAGAAACAATAGTCACACTATGGACTTCAACCCTGAAAATAAAGAAACAATAGTCACACTATGGGCTTCAACCCTGATAATAAAAAAACGAGAGTCACATTATGGGCTTCTACCTTGATAATAAAGAAGCGATAGTCACCTCACTATGGGCTTCAACCCTGAAGATAAAGTAACAATAGTCACACTATGGGCTTCAACCCTGATAATAAAGAAACGAGAGTCACATTATGGGCTTCTACCTTGATAATAAAGAAACGATAGTCACCTCACTATGGGCTTCAACCCTGAAGATAAAGTAACAATAGTCACACTATGGGCTTCACCCCTGAAAATAGAGAAAGGATAGTTACGTACACGATGGGCTTCAACCCTGATACTTCAACCCTGATAACAAAGAAACGAGAGTCACATTTTGGGCTTCTACCTTGATAATAAAAAAACAATAGTCACACTGTGGGCTTCAACCCTGATACTTCAACCCTGAAGATAAAGAAACAATAGCCACACTATGGGCTCCACCCTGATAATAAAGGAACAATAGTCACACTGTGGGCTTCAACCCTGATACTTCAACCCTGATAACAAAGAAACGAGAGTCACATTTTGGGCTTCTACCTTGATAATAAAAAAACGAGAGTCACATTATGGGCATCTACCTTGATAATAAAGAAACAATAGGCACACTATGGGCTCCAACCCTGATAATAAAAAAACAATAGTCACCTCACTATGGGCTTCAACCCTGATACTTCAACCCTGAAGATAAAGAAATAATAGTCACACTATGGGCTTCAAGCCTGAAACTTCAACCCTGATAATAAAGAAACAATAGTCACACTATGGGCTCCACCCTGATAATAAAGAAACGATAGTCACGTACACTATGGGCTTCAACCCAGAAAATAAAGAAATAATAGTCACACTATGGGCTTCAACCCTGAAAAAAAAGAAACAATAGTCACACTATGGTCTTCAACCCTGAAAATAAAGAAATAATAGTCACACTATGAGCTTCACCCTGAAAGTAACAAAATGATAGATACGTTAGAAATTTCAAGCCTAACATTAACAAAACAATAGTCATAGTATGGGCTTCATCCCTAATAATAACAAGATAAAGGGCCCTGGACCGAGTATAAATCACATCAACTGTACAAATATACCAATTATGGCCGCTCATAATGGCCTAGGATGTATGTTTCTAGAACGACTGCCAGTGAGCGGAATGAACAGTAGTCGGATTTCGTGTGTATTTTTCTTTATTTACATTGTACATTTTGTACGTATAAAATGAACGTTTTACACAATCATCTTACAGTGAAATACTATTCCTTGTGGCTTATATATTGTACGTGTAGAATATTTGTAGTATACATTGAACTTATCCGCGTCCGCCTTTGCATTGCTATTTTTAGCGAGATGCATTTAGAAGTGGCAACATGAACATTTGTACATTAATATCATATTCAATAGTTACAATTGTTGTGGTCACTTACCCAATGTCATCAGTATACATGCACCACTTGGTTTTGGAGAGTCATTTTGTTTACTTCGCCATTTCGTACACATACCACTCCATGCCCCCCATTCACCCCAGCTGTAGAATTGCTCCGCATATGTGTGCAGTTAGCACGGAGATTGTATGTGTGGTTCTGTAACTGTTCGCGCACTCCATAGCTGATAAGTACATGCCGAACGGAAATGACGAGAATTCCCGTGTAAAAATCTTAGATTGAGGTCATTGTAATCTAGGCAAGCCTCAAACACCTGCAGCATCGCGTTTGAGTGTTTTACTTTTGTCTACGACTAAAAAGTACGCTATTCTGTTACTAAAAAAATCAAAATTTCGGATATTGTCCTTTTTCGTTTGAAATAAATGCTAATTTCTTGTACAACTGCTGAATTATAAGAAACATATTTAACGCAACGATTCATTTTAAAGAAAATCCTAATGAATATATTATAATAAAAATACGAATTGCACCCATTGTTAACCATTAGAGACAACCATTACGCTTAAAAGGTTTAGTATACACATGTATCAAACAAAAACAAAAACTGATGAAGGCAAACATTTTTGGCTCACAATCTCTGGTATCAAATCGCCTAACTGGGAAAATATCCCCAGCTCTGATCGTAACACCGTCACGGTCTCACTTATTATATACATTATGTATCTGTACTTAAAGAAGGAACACCTTACACTGGTGAATATTAAAATATGGAGACAGGGCGGTTCGAGGCCCCATTACGTGCATCAAACTGTCCATTTTAGTTAACCAGGTATTGAGCCGTCTTAATGTGATACATGATGGAACTTTCAGGAAGCTACTGAAACGTAAATACATGTAAAACCACACCTTACATTCAGCATATTTTATACAGAATGGAGAACTGATTGGGCATGTGAATTATTTCGACACTTCCACACATAGAGCCTCTCTTTTACTATTACACAGGTATAATTATGATTGTCGTTTTATACTATTCCACTTGTACAGTAAATGTTATTCCATCAAATGTAATCCGGTGTGCCTTGTTAATGCTTACATATATTTTATGAATTCACACAAAAACACTTGTTTTCTCCAAAAAACGTTTCGGCTGGGAACCACGGAGGATTCAAGCAGAAACATTGAAGTGTGTATCATTGAAAGTAAAAAATAACTATCGCTAGTGAAGTTCAAATGAAAGTGAATCGGCAGAATAAAAGCAACACAGGAAGCAGAAATATTCCTGCCTTAAAAGTGTTTTCATGTCAATTTAGGAAAGCTTACTCTAGGGATTAATTTGGCCATCAAAGCAGGAGAGGGATATGTGGCCTAGATATTTGACCATACCTTGCAGCTGAGGCTTTTAGATCGGAATGACCGCAGGAATTTTCATGGTTAATAACTCAAAACGAACCTGTGCTTATGAAAACCCAAGACAGCCTGACAGGTTTGGCTTGGAGTATCCTTGAGCAAAGCAGACTCGTTATTGTTTAAACGGAGGCCAATATGGAAAATTGAAGTAAATCTGTAAATCCTTTTTGTTCAGTATTTTGTCCATAGTATCCTTGGACAAGAGAGCTAAATTTCGTATAAACGGAGAGTGGACACCTGGGACAGAGGGACGAGCCTAATATGGGAAGTAGTTTTCTTGTATACATACATGTCAGTTGGTAAATACGACAAAAGATGTTCTTGTATACATACCTGTCAGTTGGTAAGTACGACAAAAGATTTTCTTGTATACATACCTGTCAGTTGGTAAGTACAACAAAAGATGTTCTGTATACGTACCTGTCAGTTGGTAAGTACAACAAAAGATGTTCTTGTATACGTACCTGTCATTTGCAAAGTACGACAAAAGATGTTCTTGTATACATACGTGTCAGTTGGTAAATACGACAAAAGATTTTCCGAGTAAACTAAATGTAATGAACAACAGCAACACGGAATTGATGTGAAAAGTCATTATCAAGTGTATCTTATAGTGGATGTTCTAGTAATAAATGTTTTTGTTAAAGATATTTGTTATTGATACAATGCACGTGTGGCATCATATGTAAATTGTAGTGTTTATCAATACCGTACATACTAGTTTGTCTTTGTAAACAAGATACCTAAATAGCATACAATACTGTACATATTCCGCAGTGGACCAATACGTATCCAAGTTAAGTATTACTATATTTGTAGTTACAATATACTATGAATATATCGTTGCGGTAGGACAACACCTTCTATTAACACTGACAATAATATATAAACATGCATATGTCTGATTGCAGGTGACCATTGGATGAATACACCAATAGGTCTTAATGCAGAAATAAAATCAAGGAAGTGGAAAATCAGTACATACATATGTCAGGCAATAACTACAGGATAAGTATATTTGAAAACAATAAAGAAAAAAAGGATAAAATTTGAAAGACTTTTACAACATATATTCAAAGTGCAGGTTTACACAAAGACCCGTGAGAAAATTAAAGGAGACCAGGTGTTCTCTTACCCTGGACAGGTGTATCCGCACTTTTACTGGTGTGAAATTCCCATGTCTCACCCTAGGGTTGAGACGGGGGGATTCCTCTATTCATAACAATGACATGACGTCACTTCAACAATACAATGACGTCATGTCAACAATCCATTAACGTCACGTCCACCCTGAATTTAGCATGTAACGTTATCACTATATTGTGTATATGATACACAATGGGAGAAAAGGGTAAGAGAAATAAAATCATTCACCCCCTTGTTGGTGAGATAGGAGAATCACAAACCTCGGGGAAAGATTCTTAAGTTGTCAAACACTCGGCAAAGCCTCTGTTTGGCAACTAAAGACTCTTCCCCCTCGGTTTGAGATTCCCCTAACTCATCCCCAAGGGGGTGAGATATTCTATTAGTCTCCAGACAGCTGGATCACATAACACAACACATATATTATAAACTAGAAGCTCAATTATTCTCGTGGTTTCATCCTGAGCATATTTCATCTTGGCCTATGTTGTGCTTGTCACAAAACATGCCCCGAGTTGTTGATATCCATATATTCATATCGCCGTTCTTATTTTTTGGAAAAGACAACTCCCGTGGTAAGAGAACATTCCTTCAGTTTGTAATGAGATAAAGTATTGTAAAGAATTAAAATGTCAAAAATGCTCTGATGAAAGAGAAACATTTTTAGACGAGGATGCTCAAGGATGATAATATGATCTTTTGAATTCTTCAAGTCCTCATTCCAATTAATCAGCGTCTAGAGGACAGTGTCACGATACGACTGTATCCCTGATTGAATGATACTAAGAATGAATGGTAGGAGGAATGAATGGTAGAAAGAATGAATGAATGGTAGAAAGAATGAATGGCAGAAAGAATGAATGAATGGTAGAATGAATGAATGATAGAAAGAATGAATGAATGGTAGAAAGAATGAATGATAGAAAGATTGAATGAATGGTAGAAAGAATGAATGATAGAAAGAATGAATGATAGAATGAATGAATGGTAAAAAGAATGAATGATGGAAAGAATGAATGAATGGTAGAAAGATGTTTGTATAATGCATGGTTGCTTAACAGGCAGAGCAGACGATGAAACTTTGTTTATGTGGATTGTTGTGAAGTTTTAGAATCAATTAAAAACGAAGCAGGTCTTTTTCCTTATAAGAAATTGCAATGGTTTTCGGACAGATTGTAATAAAGAAGCGTGTTTATCTAATATCTTCTCTTTGAAAAAAATGAAACTTTATAGGTAGGGTTCAGTTGGTTATCAAGAAACAAGCTTTATTTTTTTTCGCAAACAGGAAATGTAAAAGTGTTTGTTGACAAAGATAACAGACAGTTACAACTGTGCTAAATGCAATTTCTGCATACACAAATAAATACTTGCAATACAGATTGTAAATACTTGCAATACAGATTGTTGAGTGTGGTTGATTTCAACCTCTTTTTTGAATTATGGACCTGATAAATTTAATCCACTCTTGAGTGTTGATTTCTTCAGCATGATTTCGTTTTGCTTAATCCTGGCATACACTTCCAACATAATTCATCAGTATTGTTCAATTCACATTTTAGTGTCTCTCGATACATGTTTGTTACATTGTAGAAACTTGTTCAGATCATTTGGACTATCTCCTGTAACTTAGAGAAAGCCAAACCATTGCTTGGAGTTGATCTGATTTTATGAAATTCTAAAACAGAAATATTAGATTTCCATCAGTCCAGTATTTCGAACGAAGATGCAGTAATTGGTGTCATTTCAACACTGTGTAGTGTTTATATATGAAATGCCAGCTTACTGTATTAGATTTAGGACAAAACTTCCATCAGGAGACAAAATGTATTGACAGATATTCAGTGTTTCTACTTAAGGAGCAAGGGAACAACAACAAATCAGAACCATGACCATGGTCACAACCAATTGAAATACAAAGTAAATTAACTTACTTCCGTATGCATAAAAACGAACCAAATTAAAACAAATAAAAATAAGATAAATAAATAAATCCTCTGAACAATACTGTCCAGCCATGCTTAAAAGATCTTAGTGCTAAGTAAATCAATACGGGATAAGGATATAATCACTTCATTTGGTCAGATTGAGTTTGAATGTTTCAAGACATCGAATATTGTAGAGGGATTACAATGTACATGGATTAGAGCTCTGCATAACAATGTGGTTAAAGAAATGGGCTATATAAAGAATAGAACAATACAAATCTCATTTGCAGTTGTCAAATAAAACTTAAATTTACATAAAACATTTTTTCAGAAAATTACAAAAGATTTCTGAAAATAATTAAACTTTTTCTTTACAGAAAGTGTCAAGAGTCATGCTTTAGGTCTACAAATCACTAATGAACTGTTAACAATATTGTATACTAATTTTGAAATATATATGACCGTTACCTTAAAGAAAAGATACAAAAATTAACCCTCAGAGGGACTATGTAAACAGAGTTCTGAAATAGAAAAACAAATCTTCAGGTGAAGTTAAAATACATAACTTAGAAATAATTCACAGTCATCGATGCTCATTTCAATTCCAAAAGTTTACAACTTATAGGTAAATTAAATGAATTTCTGTATGTGATTAACGACTATAATATATTGACAGTAACACTTTACTAGAAACTATTTCGTCTTCAGATGATATGC